GTCCATGTTTGACACAAACAAGAAAGAATTAGCAAAAAATTGTAAAATTGTGATGGGCAGTATCGTAAGAGTATGGTAAATAAAAAAAATGACTAATAGTAACGACAATGTTTGCATTCGTGATGCAATTGTACTCCCTTTCCGTTGTTTCTTGTTTCGACAGCAATTCCATAGAATAATCGACGAACAGATACAAGTGGTAAAACCAGGTGCTAATGTGAACAGAATTGCGTGCAAAACTGGCCAGATATGTACCATCCATCTACGAGTATACGGATAATATTCACATTTTACAAATGAATCGAATTCGTAATGAAGCGACAAGGGAAAATGAATCATTAGGATGGAAACGAATAGAACGATGAGTAAGATGGTGAATAGAATTTTCTTTTGTGTTACGATACGAGAAAACTTATGTGCTAATAAAGTTATTAGTACATGATAAATAGAAAGATTGGCTATGCTCAAATTGGAGATGATAGATGAGCCAACAACGAGTGCATAAAAGCCAGCATATGACCAGACTTCTCGAGGATCTCTGGAAATTGACCTTGCTCAGGAATATAAGTAAGGAATACAGACCACTCAGGAAATAACAGAGAATTCGCAGTGGATGCTTACCTAACCTGGACGGTGACTTAAACCAGTCACAAAAAATAACAGAGAATTCGCAATCGATCCGTAATTAACCTAGATGGTGACCTGAACTAGTCAGAAAATCATAGAGAATTCGCAATCGCTGCTTACCTGACCTAGATGGAGACCTAAACCAGTAAGAAAATAATAGAGAAGTCGCAATCGCTCCTTGCCTAATTTAGATGGTGACCTAAACCAGTCAGAAAATAATAGAAAAACGGCAATCGATCCCCACCTGACCTAGATGGTGACTTGAACCAGTCAGAAAATAATAGAGAAATAGCAACGGATCCCTATTTAACCTGGACAGTGACTTAAACCAGCTAGAAAATAACAGAAAACGCGCAATTGATCCTTGCCTAACCTAGATGGTGACGTAAACTAGTCAGAAAATAATATAGAACTCGCAATCGATCCTTGCCTAAACTAGACGGTGACTTAAACCAGTCAGAAAATGATAGAAAATTCGCAATCGATCCTTGCCTAACCGAGATGGTGACCTAAACCAGCCAGAAAATAACAGAGAATTCACAACTGATCCTTACCTAACCTAGATGGTGACCTACGCTAGTCAGAAAATAATACAGAATTTGCAGTTGATCCTTACCTAACCTAGATGGCGACCTAAACTGGTCGGAAAATAATAGCAGCCAGTCCTTACTTAAACCAGTCAGCAACTAACACAGAATTCGCAGTGGATGCTTACCTAACCTGGATGGTGACCTAAACTAGTCAGTCAATAATAGAGAACTCGCAGAGAATGCTTACCTAACCTGGATGCTGACCTAAACCAGTCAGTCAATACTAGAGAATTCGCAATCGATCCTTACCTAACCTAGATGGTGACCTAAACCAGTCAGAAAATAACAGAGCATTCGCAATCGATCCTTGCCTAAACTAGATGGTAACCTAAACCAGTCAGAAAATGATAGAAAATTCGCAACCGATCCTTGCCTAACCCAGATGGCGACCTAAACCAGTCAGAACATAACAGAGAATTCACAATTGATCCTTACCTAACCTAGATGGTGACCTAAGCTAGTCAGAAAATAATACAGAATTTGCAGTTGATCCTCACCTAACCTAGATGGCGACCTGAACTGGTCGGAAAATAATAGCAGCCAGTCCTTACTTAAACCAGTCAGGAAATAACACAGAATTCGCAGTGGATGCTTACCTAACCTGGATGGTGACCTAAACTAGTCAGTCAATAATAGAGAATTCGCAGTGCATGCTTACCTAAACTGGATGGTGACCTAAACCAGTCAGAAAATAACAGAGAATTCGCAAGCGATTCTTGCCTAACCTAGATGGTGACCCAAATCAGTCAGCAAATAATAGAGAAATCGCAATCGATCCCTACCTAACCTAGATAGTGACTTAAACCAGTCAGAAAATAACAGTGAATTCGCAATCGGTTCTTGCCTGACCTAGATGGTGACTTAAACCAGTCAGAAAATCATAGAAAAATCGCAATCGATCCTTACCCAACCTAGATGGTGACCGAAACTACTTATAAACTAATAGAGATGCTTACTGAAAGCAGTCGGAAAATAACAGAGAATTCGCAGTCGATCCTTACCTAACCCAGACGGTGACCGCAACTACTCTGAAATAAATCGAGAATTCGCAATCGATCCTTCCCTAACGTAGATGGTGTCGCATTGATATTTTCTGACTGGTTTAGGTCACCGTCTAGGTTAGGGAGGGATCGACTGCGAATTTTCTATCATTTTCCGACTAGTTTGGGAGTCAAACCAGTCAGAAAATAACACGGAATTCGCAATCGATGCTTAGCTAACCTAGATGCTGACCTAAACCAGTCAGAAAATAATAGAGAGTTCACAATCGATCCTTACATAATTTAGATGGTGACCTGAACCAGTCAGAAAATAATAGAGAATTCGCAATCGATCCGTACCTAAGCCGGTCAGGAAATAACAGGGAATTCGCAGTCGATGCTTACCGGACCTGGCTGGTGACCTAAACTGGTTAGAAAATAACAGAGAATTCGCAGTCGATGCTTACCTAACCTAGATCCTGACCTAAACCAGTCAGAAAATAATAGAGAGTTCACAATCGATCCTTACCTAATTTAGATGGTGACCTGAACCAGCCAGAAAATAATAGAGAATTCGCAATCGATCCGTACCTAAGCCGGTCAGGAAATAACAGGGAATTCGCAGTCCATGCTTACCCAAGCTAGATCGTGATTTAAACCGGGCAGAAAATAATAGAGAACTCGGAATCGATCCTTACTAAAACCCTTCAGAAAATAACACGGAATTCGCAGTCGATGCTACCAAAGTTAGATAATGACTTAGACCAGTCAGAAAATAATATGGAATTCGCAACCGGTTCTTGCACAACCTAGATGCTCAGCTAAACTAGTTATTAACTAATAGAGAATTCGCAGTCGATCGTTGGTTAAACCAGTCACACAATAACAAAGAATTCGCAGTCGATCCTTACCTAACCCAGCTGGTGACCTAAACTAGTCACAAAATAATGGAGAATTCGCAGTCGATGCTTACCTGACCTAGGTGGTGACTTAAACCAGTTAGGAAATAACAGAGAATTCGCAGTGAATGCTTACCTAAATAATAAAGAAATCGCGGTCGATCCGTGATTTACCTAGATGGAGACCTAAACTAGTCAGAAAATAATAGAGAACTCGCAACCGATCCTAACCTATCCTAGTTGGAGACCTAAACCAGTCAGAAAATAATATAGAAGTCGCAATCGATCCTTGCCTAATTTAGATGGTGACCTAAGCTAGTCAGAAAATAATAGAGAATTTGGAATCGATCCTTACCTAACCTAGATGGCGACCTAAAGTGGTCGGAAAATAATAGCAGTCAGTCCTTACTGTAACCAGTCAGGATATAACACAGAATTCGAAGTGGATGCTTACCTAACCTGGAAGGTGACCTAAACTATTCAGGAAATAACAGAGAATTCGCAGTGAATGCTTACCTAAATAATAAAGAAATCGCGGTCGATCCGTGATTTACCTAGATGGAGACCTAAACTAGTCAGAAAATAACAGAGAACTCGCAACCGATCCTAACCTATCCTAGTTGGAGACCTAAACCAGTCAGAAAATAATAGAGAAATGGCAATCGACCCGTACCTGACCTAGATGGTGACTTAAACCAGCTAAAAAATAACAGACAATGCGCAATTGATCCTTGCCTAACCTAGACGGTGACCTAAGCTAGTCAGAAAATAATAGAGAATTTGGAATCGATCCTTACCTAACCTAGATGGCGACCTAAAGTGGTCGGAAAATAATAGCAGTCAGTCCTTACTGTAACCAGTCAGGATATAACACAGAATTCGAAGTGGATGCTTACCTAACCTGGAAGGTGACCTAAACTGTTCAGGCAATAATAGAGAATTCGCAGTCGATCCATATCTAACCTAGATGGTCACCTAAACCGGTCAGAAAATAATAGAGAACTCGCAATCGATCCTTACCTAACCTAGATAATGACCTAAACCAGTCAGAAAATAATACAGAATTCGCGATCGATCCTTACCTAACCTAGATGGCCACCTAAACTGATCAGAAAATAAAAGAGAATTCGCAGTCAATCCTTACTTAAACCAGTCAGAAATAACAGAGAATTCGCAGTCGATCCATATCTAACCTAGATGGTCACCCAAACCGGTCAGAAAATAATAGACAATTAACAATCGATCCTTACCTAATTTAGATGGTGACCAGAACCAGCCAAAAAATAATAGAGAATTCGCAATCGATCCTTACCTATCCTAGATGGTGAGCTAAACTAGTTATTAACTAATAGAGAATTCGCAGTGGATCGTTAGTTAAACCAGTCACACAATAACAAAGAATTCGCAGTCGCTCATTACCTAACCTAACTGGTGACTTGTACCAGTCAGAAAATAATAGAGAATCCGCCGTCGATCATTACCTAACCTAGACGGTGACCTAAACCAGTCACAAAATAATGGAGAATTCGCAGTCGATGCTTACCTGACCCAGGTGGTGACTTAAACCAGTTAGAAAATAATAAAGAAGTGGCAATCGATGCATATCTAACCTGGATGGTGACCTAAACCGGTCAGAAAATAACAGAGATTCTTACCTAACCTAGATGGTGACCCATACCAGTCAGGATATAATATTAGAGAAATCGCAATCGATCCCTACCCAACCGAGATAGTGACTTAAACCAGTCAGAAAATAACAGAGACTTAGCAATCGATCATCGTCTAACCTAGATGGTGACCTGAACTACTTATTCGCAGTCGACCCTTCCTTGAAGCAGTCGGAAAATAACAGATAATTCGCAGTCGACCGTTACCTAACCCTGATGGTGACCTAAACTACTCTGAAATAAACCGAGAATTCGCAATTGATGCTTACCTGACATAGATGGTGACCCAAACCAGTCAGAGAATAATAGAGAAATCGCAATCCATCCCTACCTAACCTAATTCGTGACTTAAACCAGTCAGAAAATGACAGAGAATTCGTAATCGATGCTTACCTGACCCAGATGTTGACCTAAGCTAGTCAGAAAATAATACAGAATTCGCAGTAGATCCAGACCTAACCTAGATGGTGACCTAAACCGCTCAGAAAATAACAGAGAATTCGCAGTGGATGCTAACCTAACCTGGACGGTGACTTAAACCAGTCAGAACATAACAGAGAATTCGCAATCGGTCCGTAATTAATCCAGATCGTGAGCTGAACTAGTCAGAAAATAATGGAGAATTCGCAATCGATGCTTACCTGACTAGATGGAGAACTAAACCAGTCAGAAAATAATATAGAAGTCGCAATCGATCCTTGCCTAATTTAGAAGATGACCTAAACCCGTCAGAAAATAATAGGGAAATGGCAATCGCTCCCTACCTGACCTAAATGGTGACTTGAACTAGTCAGAAAATAATAGAGAAATCGCAACGGATCCCTATTTAACCTAGATAGTGACTTAAACCAGCTAGAAAATAACAGAGAATGCGCAATTGATCCTTGCCTAACGTAGATGGTGACCTAAACCAGTCAGATAGCAATATAGAATTCGCAATCGATCCTTGCCTAACCGAGATGGTGACCTAAACTACTCTGAAATAAATCGACAATTCGCAATTGATGCTTACCCGACCTAGATGGTGACCTAAACTAGTCGGAAAATAATAAAGAATTCGCAGTAGATCCATACCTAACCTGGATGGTGACCTAAACCACTCAGAAAATAACAGAGAATTCGCAAGCGATCCGTAATTAACCTAGATCGTGAGCTGAACTAGTCAGGAAATAATAAAGAATTCGCAATCGATGCTTACCTGACTAGATGGAGACATACACCAGTTAGCAAATAATAGAGAACCCGCAATCGATCCTAACCTATCCTAGATGGTGACCTAAACCAGTCAGAAAATAATAGAGAAATCGCAACGGATCCCTATTTAACCTAGATAGTGACTTAAACCAGCTAGAAAGTAACAGAGAATGCGCAATTGATCCTTGCCTAACGTAGATGGTGACCTAAACCAGTCAGATAGCAATATAGAATTCGCAATCGATCCTTGCCTAAACTAGATGGTGACCTAAACCAGTCAGAAAATGATAGAGGGTTCGCTATCGGCGCTTACCTAACTTAGATGGTGACTTAAACCAGTCAGAAAATGATAGAGAGTTCGCAGTCGATCATGACCTAACCTAGCTGGTGACTTAAACCAGTCGGAAAATGATTGAGAGTTTGCAATCGATCCTTACCTAACCTGGATGGTGACCTAAGCTAGTCAGAAAATAATACAGAATTCGCAGTTGATCCATACCTGACCTAGATGGTGACCTAAACCACTCAGAAAATAATAGAGAATCCGTAGTCGATCCTTACCTAACCTATATGGTGACTTAAACCAGTCGGAAAATAATAGAGAATTCGCAGTCGATCCTTACTTAAACAAGTTAGGAAATAACAGAGAATTCGCAGTGGATGCTTACCTAACCTAGATGGTGACCTAAACCGTTCAGAAAATAATACAGATTTCGCAGTCGATCCTTACCTAATCTAGATGGTGACCTAAACCAGTCAGAAAATAATAGAGAATTCGCAATCGATGGTTACCTAACCTACATGGTGACCTAAACTGGTTGGAAAATAATAGAGAATTCGCGGTCGATCCTTACCTAAAGCAGCCAGAAAAGAACAGAGAATTCGTAGCCGTTGCTTACCTAACCTAGATGGTGACCTAAAGTAGTCAGAACATAATGGAGAATTCGCAATCGATTTTTACCTAACCTACATGGTGACCTAAACCAGTTAGAAAATAATAGAGAATTCGCTATCGACGCTTACCTAACTTAGATGGTGACTTAAACCAGTCAGAAAATGATAGAGAGTTCGCAATCGATCCTGACTTATCCTAGCTGGTGACTTAAACCAGTCAGAAAGTGATGGAGAGTTCGCAATCGATCCTGACCTAACCTAGCTGGTGACTTAAACCAGTCAGAAAGTGATAGAGAGTTCGCAATCGATCCTGACCTAACCTAGCTGGTGACATAAACCAGTCGGAAAGTGATAGAGAGTTCGCAATCGATCCTGACCTAACCTAGCTGGTGACATAAACCAGTCGGAAAGTGACAGAGAGTTCGCAGTCGATCCTGACCTAACCTAGCTGGTGACTTAAACCAGTCAGAAAAGAACAGAGAATTCGTTCCCGATGCTTACCTAAGCTAGATGGTGACCTAAGCTAGTCAGAAAATAATAGGGAATTCGCAATCGATCCTTACCTAACCGAGCTGATGACCTAAACTAGTCAGAAAATAATAGAGAATTCGCAGTCGAGCCTTACTTAAACTAGTTAGGAAATAACATAGAATTCGCAGTGAAGGCTTACCTAACCTAGATGGTGACCTAAACTAGTCAGAAAATAATACTTATTCGCAGTCGATCCTTGTCTCACCTAGGTGGTGACTTAAACCAGTCGGAAAATAATATAGAATTCGCAGTCGATCCTTACGTAACCTAAATGGTGACCTAAACTAGTTAGAAAATAATAGAGAATTCGCAATCGATCCTTACTTAAACCAGTCAGAAAATAACGGAGAATTCGCAGTCGATGCTTATTTAAACTAGTCAGAAAATAATAGAGAATTTGCAATCGATCCTTACCTAACCTAAATGGTGACCTAAACTAGTTGGAAAATGATAGAGAAGTCGCAGTCGATCCTTACCTAAACTAGTGAGGAAAGAACAGGGAATTCGCAGTCGATGCTTGTTTAAACTGGTCAGAAAATAATAGAGAACTCGCAGTCGATCCTTACCTAACCTAAATGGTGACGTAAACTGGTTGGAAAATAACAGAGAATTCGCAATCGATCCTTACTTAAACTAGTCAGAAAATAATAGAGAATTCGCAATCGATCAGCAATGTTTCATGTCTTAAGTATGGGTGTGCGGTAACCGGTAATTTACCGTCGGTAACGGTGCGATGAATTTACCGAAAAGTGAGGTTACCGCGGCAAGGGTAAAAAATTTTTACTGTTATCGCGGTAACGGTAAACGGATTTACCGGTTACCGCACATCCCTAGCCTTAAGAGTGATTTTTAAAAATCGTTTTATGAAGTACAAGTAGTCCAAAAATCACGGTTTTTTAGAAAACCCTACTTTCGAGAGTTTTAGAGAAAACTTTCCAGAGAAGCAAAGAAAGAGAAGGTTGAGAAACCCTTAAGCGCCCAGTTTCATAAAGTTTGGTTCTGTGATTATCGAGATAGCCTAGATCACCTTTCTCGTGTAACACGCTTATTTCGTTATTTCCGAATGAAAACGAGCGAGAGTTTCTCTAGGATTGCAGAGAAGAATATTCTGTATCTTTTTATAAGCGCAAACCTTTTTGTGAGAGGTGTTCTTCGAGTAGAAACTGATTTCAAAGAAACTCCTAGCTTTCTAGCTATTTTACATGGTTGTTTCCATTTACCCCAAATGAGGTAAATGGAAACATTTGAATAGTTCTCAGCGTTTACCTTTTTAATTAGAGCTCAGGCTAATTAATGAGTAGAGCTTGGAGATTCTCGCCATTTGTAGAGCAATAATTGACCTATTTACCTGTACAAAAGTTATTAATTTGTATCATTGGCTTAACGAGAAAACTGTTTTTTACTAATGAATTATTTGCCGTGTAAAATACATGACGTATCCAATTACCCCATCAATTTCTATTGTTGTTTCCAATTGCCCCAAGTGGGGTAATTGGAAATGTTCATTAGAGCTTTCAGCAAAACACCGGGAAGTTCGCCTGGGACACGGAAGTTTTGACAATTGTTAGATAGCCTTATAGAGAACTTCCTTCTCTACCTACCTGTAAAAAGGGCGCAAAAAGATAATAAAATTAACAAATTTATACGAATTAGATGTCCAAAGAGCAAAAAATGGTTTCCAATTGCCCCAGTTTACTATAATGTGTTAGGATTTCTATTGTGTTACAACGCGATAAATTTCGAAAAAACATGCCTTTAATGCATTAGCGTAATGCGTTACGTGGAAAAAGCTGCTAAAAAATTGAAATTATAGTGTTATAATATATTTTTGTGAACGACTTTCTCATATTTTATAATGTTACGATGCTATAAATTCGACTAACGCGTTAATATTTTGTATACCCTTACAAGGCATTACTAAATTCCTATCGCAGTATAACGTATTAACCTGTAACGCGTTATAGGTTATGTTGGTGAATGCTAATGAAACGATGTGGCTATAATATCTAATATTATAAATTTATGGCATTACAATGCATTAGCTCTTGTCAAATGTCTTTTGAGGTCTATTGTAAATGAGATATACAATAGCTTAAATACTCCACATTCTGAAGTTTGGAACTCGTTCTGATGTATTTTGACCGAATAGTGAATTTTTTAATATTAGGCAAAAATCGCAATTTTCGTAAAAGTCCCCTTTTCGCTAGATTTTTTTATAAAAGCAAATACCGCCACGAGACTCAGCATGATCGATTACCTTTAGCCCATTAGCTTTCAAGGCTACCAATAGTCATCAGATGGCAGGACTGGGTCTCGTAGAAAATCCGGTACAATGTCAGAACTGTAGAAAATCTAGGTCTCACTTGACTTCCATTTTCAAGAGCACTTTCCGGGCTATCAGTCCATGAAAAAAACCGACATAATCCTATTGAAAAAGTTTTACACAAGACCTGGTTTTCCAAAGATCTCCTAAAAAGCCTGTTTCAGAAAACTCTTCTGAAATTAATTTTGCTTGTAGAAACATGTTTCCAAGTCTTCTCTTTTGCTTGGAGAAAATCGAAGCCCTTTAGCTACTTTCTATCAAAAGTTATTCATAAAAGATCCCGTACTCTTGTAGTTTGAAACGGATAGTAGTTACACAGCTAACCCTTAGAAAAGACACGCTGTTAAAAAATCACTCTGAAGTAACACATTATACTTTAATAATGTCTATATACAAACTAATTTTTTCTGATTCTTGTACAATGTAAATATATCATAGGGCATATAATCGTTCGCATGTATATATAAAAAAAAGGTAAATTTTGCNCATGGCCACGGCACATCTTCAGACGAAAAGCTGTTCCAATTTTTGGCTCAAGAACACGTTATACAACGGCAAAAAAAAAAAAATAATAATAAAATAAATATGTGCACATGTTTGTATATGTAGAATAATAAAAGTAGAGTCGATTGAGTTAATCTTTCGTTAGGTCTCAATAGAGTCATTGATGTATGAAAATATTAATATATAATAGTTTGCTTTTTTTTATTGTCAAGAAATAGGTATCCAAATTCTGACGAAATAAATGCAGTTACAATGGATTATTAATCAACGTAGTATAGAAGAACAGAAAGATATTAATTCTATTTTAATTTATTGCTAGGTGAGGCACCATCAGACAATATATAAATAACATTCTTTTAGATTAATAATATTAATTTGAGAATAATGGCTACTGTAGTTCTCTATCATCTCTCTATTGTTCTATTTCTCTTATTATGTAAATGTAACGGTAATCTATTTGAAGACAAAAGAAGCGAACTATTAAATTATGTCTTGTCAGAACATTTTCAATATTCTTCATCGATGCATACAAAATTAATATACGATACAGGTGATGATTTAAGTGAAACAAATGGTGAAATTGATATTAAATTATTAAATAGTTTAAATCAAATTGATATATATAGTATGCCGATAATTGATGATTATTCGAATAATGAGCAAGCACTTGAATGGCTAAATTGGTATACGAAAATTGAAGAACGTTATAGTCAAATATCTGCTGTTTTATCATGGAATGTTTTGACAAATATCACAAAAGAAAATGAACAACGACGAACACAACAAAAATTAATTACAAGTCCATTTTCACGAAAAATTTTAATCATCATTCACAAATTATATCCTCTAATTTTAATAGCATATAAAATTTTCATTTTTTCAAACGATCATTTCCGAATAATTAATTACCCATTATTAAACGTTTTAATCAATATATGAAATATTCTTCAAATTCTGATTTAAAACGTGTTTATGGTCGTTTAGCACTTGGAACAATAATGAAAGATGATCGTATAATTGAAAAAGTATCAGTACTTCATTCGAAAATGGAAAATATTTATTCAACTTCGACTGTATGCGAAATTGTAAATCCAAAACAATGTCATCCATTAGCACCGGATCTTGAAGAATTAATGCATGTAGAAAAAGATTACGATACTCTTGTATGGGCATGGAAAGGATGGCATGATAAATGTGGAAATCAAATTCGTCCACTATATCTTGAATATATTGATTTATTGACAAAAAATATTCAAGAAAATGGTTTTACTGATTTAGCTCAAAGTTGGATTGATGATTATGAGATGGATCATGGTTTTGAAGAAATGCTCGATCAACTATTACAAGATATATTGCCGTTATATACACAAATACATGCTTATGTAAGAGGAAAATTGTGTCAAAAATATCCGAAAAAATTTGATTGTAATGGACCAATACCAGCTCATCTTCTCGGTAAAAAAAAACAACTTTAACTTATATCAATAGAATTTAACATATTGTCTTTTGTCAGGTAACATGTGGGCACAACAATGGCAAGATCGTCTTGATGATGTTTTACCCTATCCAGAAACTCCATTAGCAAATATGACAAAAATTTTATTGGAAAAAAAAGTGACCATTCATGAAATGTATCTTATTTCTGAAAATTTTTTTACATCGATTGGTATGAGTGCAATGACAAAAAAATTTTGGACAAAATCTATGTTTGAAAAACCAAAAAATCGATCAGTTGTATGTCATGCATCGGCAAGTAATATGGCTAATAAGGATGATTATCGAGTGAAAATATGTACAGAAATCAATGATGATAATTTTTACACAGTTCATCATGAAATGGGTCATATTGAATATTATATGGCGTATGATAAGGTACAACCGATTGTTTATCGTGAAGGAGCAAATTCAGCATTTCACGAGGCTATTGGTGATACGATAGGCATGTTTGTTCTCTCACCTACACATCTCGTAAAATT